TTTAATACTATTTCACAAAATTACTGTTTCTACTGTATTTCTGATCAAACAAATGCAGCTTTTTCTAAAAACAAACTACAAAAAAATCTTACTGGCCCCACATTTTTGAAAGGTAATATATATGGAATTTTATGAAATTCATTTTCTTCTTAATGTAATTTGAAACTAATATGAATGCAATTATACACATTCTGACAGAGACCTATATGGGTCTTGATAATTTTGCGTGCTGGTGAATATAAAAAAGAAAAGGTAATTTTTGTAATGGAATTTGATGTCACAGATTATCCTTATGTTAGTAAGGTTCTCACTTAACATACTGTTGTACATTTATAATATATATAAATTTAAACGTATTATAGCACTATAACAACCAAACAGCTGTTTACTCTATATGCAGTACAGTGATTAAACTATAGATTATTTTACATATCATGAATGACTGGTTAAAAGAACACTTTTTTTTTCTCATAGATTGTTATAGCATCAGTTAAATTTTCTAGATAAGCTGCTACTTATTTTTAAGAGTATTGGACCAGATATTGATTCTACCACTTAAAGCAATGTTATCTTATCTCTAAGTGTAATGGAGTTTCAGTGTTAAAAGAAGAAAGGTGCCTTGTGACAGCTGTCTGTTTTTGCCCTGGGAAGAAGCTCCAATTTGGGAGTGATTTGTGATGTACTTTGACCCACCAGGCAACACGGCCCCTCTGGGTCATCTGTGTCAACCCAGAGGATGTGAACAGGGCATACTACAGGATTAGATGTAAACTGTGGAGCTATTACCATCATCTGTCTGCAATGTCAGTCTAGAAAGTGTTTATTTGAACAAAAGTACCATTGGTTTGGACAAATAAATGTGTTTTTGATTTGCTTGTGTGGATTTTTCTGAGTAAATAAAGAAGTGTATATAATGGAGATGATGCTTATTTATAAGCACAATAGATAAATTGTTGGTCTGCTCTCAGACATGATTCCTCTGAAAAATAACATTATTTGTTTAATGCAGAGTTATATGCACTAACAGTTACAAAATTCTATTATTTATCATGCTAATCTTTTTTTTTTTTTTGACTGATATAAAGGTATTACAACACAATGTTCTAAGCTGAATATAAACCTACTCCACCAGCCAAAACAAGCATGGACTTAATAATTTACTATGAAAATGTCTTTTTTTTTTTAAGACATTCTTTATCACACATGAAATTAGATATTGAATTTGGAAGAAAGAGACAAGTCTGCTTTGAGACTCTCGTCAAATTATTCAAATCACATTAATGTGAAAATATATGACTTATCATCTGAGGTCTGAGATATTCTTTCTCATGCACATGAAACTGCCTTCAGGGAGAAGGAGGAATGGTTTTAGGAATTTGGTGGGAACCTCTGGGCTTGCCAAGGAAGAAGCAAATGAAGCTCAAAGGCAACAAAAAAGGCAAAAATAAAAAAAATAAATACTTGTGAGTGCAATATACACATCACTCAAACATTTACAAAAATTCATACATCACTCTGCTGCTGTATTTCATTAAATTTGGTGAATTAAAAAAACTTGTTTTTCAGGATGTATGTGCTTTTTTGTGCAAGGAAATACAATTTTAAGTATTTATTCACTAAAAATCCTCCTTATACCTTAGGCTTTACTCTTTTAAAAAGTATAATATAATACAACATAGTATAATACATATAATAAATATAATATAATACTTACTTTATCCTGCCTTCAGTTAAGGTCTCTCAACAAAGCACATATGTTCTAAGGAAAAACAGCATTATATTGTAGCTCTCCAAGGCCAAACGCCACCATTACAAGCAAACATAGATAAGCTCTGGCTGTATCCTAAGGTTTATTCTTAAGACTGTGCTCTGCCATGAATTATATTAATAACACATTTCTGATATTACATACCACCACTGATATTATACTTAAAAAGGTAAGAAACCAACGGCATTTGGATCAAATCTGTGGATAAATTGGTCTAACTTAACTGTGAGAACATGCAGTGCAGTCACCTCTATTTATGAGCATGAGGTAACCTTATCTGTCACGCAAGAGATTTCAAAACCATCCAGAAATGTATGCGATGACTGAGCGCCAAAAAACTAATACAAAGTAGTGAGAACGGTTACACATATTAAGCTTTGTTCATCACATAAAAGCATGTAATGGTTATTTTCTAAGAGTATTTGATTTAATTGACTGCTACTGAGGATTGGATAGAATCATTTGTGCACAATTTCTGTCATAAATCTTTGGCCAGATGTTTGAGATTAAGAAATAATCAAACATATATTTTCTCTTTTTTTCTGTCCTGAGGGTATCCATCTGGAATGACACCAATTCATGAAGATCAAAATTCACACATGTACAAAGACATAAAGCCATGAACCACGTTCCAGGAACTCTCTTCATTTAGCCCAACATGTACTGACGTCTAAATTACACCCAAACCAACACAGAAGCAGAACTCTCCTGCTGGGAGTCACATGAGATGTTAACTATGGACGTCACTCAGTGTTTAAACTTTAAACGTGTATCCAATTTTCTCAAACACACCGCCTGTTTGTCTTCCCTGCCCCGACATGGCAGAGTCCAGCATGCCATTTTGCAGCGCTATCCCTCCAAGTCATCCAGCAAGACGCTCACATGAGTGTGGCAAGAGCGATTTCTAATTTATAAAAGCCAAAAGGATCGATTCAATATTCATGAACAATCTGTCCCATCACAATGAGCCATTTCTGTAACTGGGGGGCAGTATGATGACAGTGCAGCGACATAAAGGAAAAGTTCTGCCTCTGCGTCTTCAGGACTACTTTATAGCCTACATCTCCTTCAGTCCACAAACAATGCATTGACTCAGTTTTTTTTTCCAGATATACCTTATTTTTGTGACAGGCAGGTGATGCGTTGTTGCAGTTTGTTCCTTCCTATATCTAAAAAAAAAAAATGAGTTCAAGCTCCTGCTTTCATCATGGAAAGTTCAAGCTGTAGCTGATTTTCCATGTAAAAGACCATTAAACTCGTCTTCCACATTTGGTGGATAATTGAAACAGGCTAGTGGAGCTGCACTCTTATGTCTTCTGCGGGATTGCTGGATCTGACAAGGGGAGACTGTTTGAGCTAAAATCAGGCCTAAATTTCCGCTATTGCACACTCAAGGTTATTTACAATTTGGATTTTAACCATTTAATTATGAAATAAATGTATCAATTGCATGAACTAAACAATGATAAAACATGTTTTTCAGGACAAAGGTGTTGTGTGTCTTAACTCATATACTTGCACAAGCTTACCGATAAAGTGAAATAGTTGTTTAGCTATAGTCCACTAAGAAAAAGACATCGTCTAGGGTGCTGTGCAGTGTTACTCTTCATTACTGGATACAAACACAATGTACTTTCGTGCTGATATGGCATTTGTCGTAATTAGTTTAGTACGCGGGGAAAAAATAAATCTTTTTCCTCACACCCCAGGAATCTTAATTAGAAACAGTAATTTGAGGACTGTTCTGTTGTTCAGGAAAACAAACAAAAACATAAGGCGCATTCTTCCTGTTAAAAAAGAAGACCTCGCTGGTTTTTTGTTTAGGAACACTTTATATGGAATATAAAGCGTATGGATTATTTGGAGAACCCTGCATGAAAAGTGTTGCCACACACTGCCATCTAGTGAACCACCTTCAGACTGAGCAGTTTCACCTTTTGTTTCGCACAGGACTTCCACTTGTTCTTAGGGTAGTCCTAAAGTAAGTTTATATATTTATTAATCTTAATATATTATGTACTAATCTTCTTTCTATTAATCTTTGCTTTTCTCACTGAAGTACAATTTTAAGTAAAACATTTCTACTTTTTGTCAAGAGATTCACCAAAATAGCATGTAAAATTCAACAAACTTAAAAGGAATAGTTCATTCAAAATAAAAATTGCCATCATTTTCTCACCCTCGTGTTGGTCCCATAAGGCTTTCATTCTTCCGTGTAACACCAGAGGAGATACTGTATTAGCAGGATGTTGGACAAATAGGACAAAAATAGGACATAGGACAAAAAACATCACAAAAGTATTCCATAAAGACCAGGCAAAGGAAGGGTTACATAAGGTGCACACATGCTAAGTGATGATGAATATAACAGTTTCACAAAATAATTGATCTCTGTGTAAAAATATAATAATAGGAATAAAAATAACACAAAAATAGCTGCAGGAAAATAAAATGAAATCTGAGGAAATAAAGTAGCCTACTAATTTCATGTCTAGTTAATAAATGTATTTCCAATCATGTTGAATGACAGAAATGGTATCATTTAAATCAGCAGGTTCTTTAGTGTAATTTTATATATGGCATCACAAGTTTTTACCTTCATATTGATAAAATACTAGAAACATCATGGTTGATGATTATATGAGGAGGAGACACCCACAAAATGGGTCCATACTGTCTGTGCATAACTACGCATTATATTGGAAACGAATATACTCTATATTCGCTTTCAATGATTTTTGTAATTTTAAAGCAATGTTTCATATAAGTTTAGCATTTTGAATTACAATATAGCAAATAGGCTAAATGAGGGTAGGATGGGTTGCGATTCTCAACGGGTTGCAGGATGGGATAATTAATTGTTATGACCTCTTATTAGCATGCTAATAAGAGGTCATAACAATTAATTTGAAAATTTAATTACCTCAGTAGATTAATTAAAAATGCTCATGTTTTCAAAAGCCAGTACAGCCGGTAGGTTGTGACGACGACAACAACAACAACAACACTGTTTTTACTTTATTTATTTTATGGATACGACTAGCTGGCAGATAAGACAAGTACGAGCCACTTACTGCAAAGAAACACTGAGTTACACACGTCGAAACAAAATGTTGTAAAACACTCACCATCTCCTCCTTTATAAATTTTGTTTGTTTTAATTGTTAATTGCGACTGCGAGTAAGTTTGTCGGTTCTCCGATCCGAGCGGTGGCGCTAAACGTTAAAAATATTTCACAAAACAGACGAAGAACCCACAGTGACGACAAGATCAACAGGAAGTTCTGACCAGCTTTGTTTATGAACTTCTCGCTCAATTCTTATTTTGGAAGTCAATAAAGTTTTATGTGCGTTTTGTAACATGATTTCTGCTACAAGATAATAAAATATGATCGTGCGTTGACTTTGTAATGGACGCGATCGCGAGCGGCTCTTGAATGCAGTGATGTTTGTGGGGTTGGGAGGAATCAGCTGACTGTTTGACGCGCTAACGACACTCATGATTCATCGAGATCTCAGTCGTGTTTATACGAATCATATGCATCTAAACCAAGCCACAGGAGTAGAACTGCCAAGAACTTAATTCGGCGTTTCTCTGTGTCAAACTCAATCGGAGTGTAATGTAAGAGTTCGGTGGCAGCGGGAAAGATGCCGTGCACATGCGGGAACTGGAGGAGGTGGATCCGGCCTCTGGTGGTGCTGCTGTACATTCTGCTGCTCCTGGTTGTCCTTCCACTCTGTATATGGGAACTTCAGAAATCAGGGGTCAGAGGTCTTTCTAGAATTACATACATTAAAGATTAAGCAGCTGACTGTCGAATGTGTTCATAAATGTTGTTAACCCTCTTGTTGTCCCAAGAAACTTCACGTGTAGCCTTTGAGTCTAATTTGGCCCGCAATGAAAACCATTTTGATTATAGTACAAGAGGTCTAAACCTGAAAATGTGTTTTGATATGGTCCCAAAAGTGTATTATGATAGAAAATAAATTATTTAAATTGATATATTGAATTACTAATTGAATATTAATAGGTTAAGAAATGAAACTTTCTGACACTAAGTTCCTGGTTAATTTCAGACACTTTTGGGATTGCATTATATCATAATGCGATTTTAACAGTTTGTTTTATAATATCTGTATTGTTCTGCTATCAATAAATTAGGTCAACTTTAAGCTGCGTAATATACTTAAAGGTCAAATCAGTGTTATTAATGTTAACTAAAATTAGAACTATTACAGTAGTTAAAAATTAAGATAAAAAGTTGAATAGAATATAAATATTAGATGAAAAAAAATGGCAACTAACTGAAAGAAAAGTTATGTTTAAAATATATGTTTAAAACACACACACAAACACAGCAAAATTACTAAAACAAATTAAAATGAAAACTGAAAACAAAAGCTTATTCAAAATATGAATACATATTATAAGACCTACCTGTAAAGCTACCTGAAAAACTATGCGCAAGTGCAGCTAGGGCAAAAACTGCTTTAAACGCAAAGGATGGTCTCACCAAATGTTGATTTAATTGAGTTAATAGAAGTTAATTGATAAAGAAAATCTATTTACGACATTATTTTTGACAGCATCCTCATTTTACAGCATTCTGACACAAGTGCCTAAAACTTTTCACAGTACTGTAGCTTTGCAGGAAGGTTTCTTGAAGCATCTTGGAGACGTTGCCACAGTTCTTCTGGATTGAGTCTGTCTCGGTTTGTTCTGTTTCTTCATGTTATTCCAGACAGACTGGATGATGATCAGATCAGATCTCTGTGTGCAGCACTTGCTGTTGTCAGACAAAAATCTCACTGGATTATTACAGTTAATGGCACAATGAATGTTTGGAAATGTAAACTGATATTTCCTACTGACACACTACAGCAAAATATAGAAATAACTGACTTAAAACCATTTTTAGCTGGTGAAAATACTAGTGTTCTAATCATTTTGGCTACCACTGTATATAAGAGAGTCAAATTTGATTCACAAAGGAAAAACATAGTATTTAAATAGTTATTTTATTGTTAAAATTAGGTGTATTTGTGCTAGTTTAGATCATTTTGACAGTGACTTCACATTGATGGTATTCGTTTTCTCCTTGTAATCTCATAGGTTAGTACTCCTAATAAGGCATGGTTCATCGCCGGGATATTTGTGTTCATGACTATACCCATCTCACTGTGGGGGATTTTGCAGCATCTAGTACACTACACCCAACCTGAGCTACAAAAACCTATTATCAGGTATTGTTGTATGGAACATTTTACTTTCAAGGTGTTTTTTATGCAATATTAATTGACATTATCTTCACTTGTTTTGTCTGTTTCTCACATGTTCACTCTGTTTTTTCATACTCAGAATATTATGGATGGTTCCTATATACAGCCTAGATAGTGTGAGTATCATGTGATCACAATGATAGCTAAAATGTTGGTATTTGAATCGCAAATAGCTTATTTGATGTGTAGTCTCCAATTAAGATTGCCTTGACTTGAACACTGGCCTTTTTCTGTTTGACAATCAGTTAATGTGAGGCCTGATGTTGCAGATGCTCATGACTTGGATTACTTTAAGAGTTGGACCAGAAAAGTGACTCACTTGACCAAACTCATGTGCATCCAATCTCTTTTTTTTTTTGGTGTAATTTGACATTTCTGTGTTCTGTATACAAGTTATTCTTTGGTCCCTTCTTCTGTTTTCACAGTGGATTGCATTGAAGTATCCCAACATTGCCATCTATGTAGACACATGTAGAGAGTGCTATGAGGCCTATGTCATCTACAACTTCATGATCTTCCTTCTCAACTTTTTGGGAAACCAGTATCCCAGTCTGGTGCTGATGCTGGAGGTGCAGGAGCAACAAAAGCATCTCCCCCCTCTTTGCTGTTGCCCTCCGTGGCCCATGGGAGAGTGAGTGTTTGCACAGACATGGATGGAATATGAAAGTGGGATAACTTAAGGCAGGATGTGGTATTTAATGCGTATCTGTTGTTACTATTACTAAAGGAGAAAGTCAAGACGTTATGGCTGAGGCTCTTATGTTGAGGGCCTCCATTACCTGTTTACCATCTTCTCCTTTGGAGCCCTCTTTAAAGTGGAGGATGGGAATTGAAAGCCTTTTTTTTAGATGCAGCAGGAAGAGATTTCTTCTAAATTGCTTGCAGAGTGAACACTTTCTTGAGGTTGTTGGCTGCTTTTAGCTGTTGCTGCTGACGGCTGCAACTTTTAAATTTACGTTAGGCAGTGGTGGTAATGTGTGAAAAGTCTGTTGATTTAAACCAGCAGCGTTTAACTGGAAAAAATATGTTTGTGTTTAGGGGGGAAAAAACGACTTTAGAGAACAATAGAGCTCTATGTTATATGCCTGTCAAGTTAACTTTAATTTATTTTATACAGTGCCAGAGAAACATTTATTTATACTGCAACAATATTTTCTCATGGCCTCCTTTTTTCTGTTTTCATATTGAGAACAGCACATTTACTGAACTGTTTTTTTTTTCTCATCAGAGTGCTTTTGCTGAGATGTAAACTGGGGGTTCTGCAGTACACAGTTGTGAGACCTGTCACCACAGTCATTGCTTTGTGAGTGTCATTCATTTTGTGTATGTTGTAGAGGTTAACCAAGCATTTACTATCAAAAACACACACATTTGTGTGTGTTTTTATGTGGTTTTACAGCATATAAAGATACATAAGGGAGCAATATATACAGTACACTATTGTTCAAATGTTCGGGGTCAGTAAGATGTTTTTAATGTTTTTGAAAGAAGTCTCTTATGCTCAACAAGGCTGCATTTATTTTATTAAAAATGCTATAAAAATAGTATTATTGCATTTATTACAATTTAGAATGGTAAAATGGGGAAGTCGTGGCCTAATGGTTAGAGAGTCGGACTCGTAACCCAAAGGTTGCGGGTTCGAGTCTCACCGTACTTGGCCACATGTCACGTCACTTTCACAATATTACAATTTTTATTTAAAATGTTGTTTATGGTACTGTAATTTATTAATTCAGCAGCCATTATGCCAATCTTCGTCACATGATCAAATATGCTGATTTGGAGCTCAAGAAACATTTCTTATTATTATCACTGTTGAAAACAGTTAACGTTTTAGTGGAAACTGTGCTACATTTTTTTTTTTTAGTATACTTTAATGGATAGAACGTTTATAGGAACAAATCTAACTTATCTAATAATATTATTATTATTATTATTATTATTATATTTGTTACATCATAAATGTTGTGTCTGTCACTTTTGATCAGTTTATTGCAACTTTATTGAATACAAATGTTAATTTCTTTAAAGTTTTGCTGACCTCAAACATTTGAATGGTAGTGTAATTGACTAATTTCTGTTCATGAGAGTGCATCAACAAACCCCTTTAGTCGACACTAATGTTTCCACATGTTTCTGTGCTCTGATGCTTTTAAACACAAGACTAAATTGAGTTTTTAGCACATTTTAGGTGCTAAAATCACACCCTAGACTCTGCTTTTATATGATATAAAAATAAGCATATGATATGAAAATAAGCATGTCAGTTTAGAATAAAGCTTTGTCTGATGGTCAATGATTTGCATCATTTCTGTCCTGCCAAATTAGGATTTGTCAGCTTTGTGGGGTCTATGATGAAGGTAACTTCAGTTCAAAAAATGCCTGGACGTATCTGGTTATCGTCAACAATCTCTCTCAGCTTGTAAGTACCTGTTTTGTCCTGAATATTATGCAAGACTGTCACATGATCTTATGTCGTGAGAGCTGAGTGAGTCTGCAGTTCCATTCAGGTAAAAGGAAGATACAATCTAACTAAAGCCCTGTTTACAGAGCCATCTTGATGGGTTTTTACCAATTAATTTGTTGTGAAATAAAACAAACCAGATTTACAGCCCCTCATTTGTGTTTATGCTGCTCATGAACAGTGAACAGCTTAGACAGCATGAACTATCAATCATTTTTTTCACTGTTGTTGCTTCGGTAACCTGATAAACTAATGGCAATGTGCTAATGTTGAACTTTCTCTCTTCAGTTTGCCATGTACTGTCTTGTGCTGTTCTACAAGGCTCTGAGAGAAGAGCTGAGTCCCATTAAACCTGTGGGCAAATTCCTCTGTGTCAAGCTGGTGGTTTTTGTGTCATTCTGGTAAACCCTTCTCTACGCATTTAACACTGTAATAATTCGGATCTGCTTCTAATCAAGTTTAGTTCCCATCTTGCAGGGCAATTTTCTAGAATACACTATATAATGTCAGGATGGTACAACTAAAGTCATGACAGTTAATGACCATGTTTGATCAGAATTATAATAATCTATATAAATTTGTGAGCAAATTGCATGAAGCCTTTTAAAAGCATCCCCAGGTTATATTTCACCCTAGAATCAAAAGGATAAAAATGTTTTGTGTTTAATACTACTACTACTACTAATAATAATTTTAAAATTGTTAATAAGAGAAATATCAAATATTTTAAAAAGTAAAATGTGGACACATTGCATTCATTTGATAGAAAAATAATCTAATGTAATCTAAATAATCTAAAATTCAAATATTTATATAATAGACATTATATAGACAGTACTAGGCGAATTGCATGAATCCTTTTAAAAGCATCCCCAGGTTATATTTCACCCTAGAATCAAAAGGATAAAAATGTCTTGTTAAAAAAAAAAAAATAATAATAATTTCAAATGTTGAAATTAATTTTAAAATAAGAGAAACATATATATATATATATATATATATATATATATATATATAAGTAAAATGTGGACACATTGCTTTAATTTTATAGAAAAAATAATCTAATGTAATCTAAATAATCTAAAATTCAAGTATTTATAAAATAGATATTGTATCATTATATCGTAATAGAGAGTACTATATAATAATTTTGAAATTTATCAAGATTTTATTATTAAGATTTAATATTCAAATAAAATCTAATATTAAAATGAATAATTATTATAATAATTCCCAAAATAATTCCTTTTTAAGTAAGTCATTTTTTTAATGATAATTTTGCCACCCTATAATGTTTTAATCAGTTCTTTTATCTGTCTTAGGCAAGCTGCGGTCATTGCACTTTTAGTGAAGGTTGGTGTGATCTCAGACTTGCACACTTGGGACTGGGACAGCGTGGAGGCTGTAGCCACTGGATTACAGGTATGTATACCTTGATCTCAACATTAAACTCAATTTACTGAGACACCGGTTTAAAATACTCATATCATATTGTTCTTATATATATATTTTTGACTGGCTTACCATGTATACAATGCACCATTGTTAATGCAGCACCATTAATGAACTTCTGGTTGCACAAGAGGAAGTAACCTTCAAATTAAAGGTCTGTTTTTCTGTGTTCTCACAGGACTTCATCATCTGTGTGGAAATGTTTTTGGCAGCCATTGCCCATCACTTCAGCTTCACTTACAAGCCCTACATACAGGAAGCAGAGGAAGGTTCTTGCTTTGATTCCTTCCTGGCCATGTGGGATGTCTCAGATATACGGGCTGACATCTCGGAACAAGTGCGCAATGTCGGTGAGTCACGACACAGTCTTTTTTTATTTGCAGTGAATGGTTCGAGGGTCTAAGATCTTTTTTGGATTCTTACAAAATACTTCATCTACATTAAGCAGTCATATCATTATTTTTTTCCCCTTCAGAGGTCTACTAGTAATACTAGTCTAGGTTTTTTGCACCTTATATTCATAAGAGGAATATTTCCTGAACAGGAATCAGTTTGTGAAATCTGTGTCAATACCAGTGACTGTATAAAAACATGGACGTAGTGTCCGTGACGTCACCCGTAGGTTTCTGAAGAGCGTTTTTGAAGCTCAAAGTGGGCGGAGCGGGCCGTCGCCATCTTGGCAGCACGTCACTCCCGGATAATCGAAAATGGGTTGGTTTCACGAGAGAGACCGGAAGGTTGCCGCTTGGTCAATACCCCGCTCCATTTCAAACACTTATTCATCATATTTATGTGCTTTGATTTTTTTATCATTCAGGGAGAACTGTCATGGGTCGGCCAAGGAAAACATATTTCGGTGAAGAGGTTTCCCAGGATGAGAACACAGGACTGCTGTCAGCTGGTTCTCAGGATCCAGGCGTTGAATCGTCCTCCACCCCTCCATCCCCTAAGGGCCGTTACCAGGGCATGGGCCACACCGTAACCCCCCACTCCATCTCTGCTCCTGCCAACCTTGGCAGCGTACCATGGGAAGGAGATGTGGATGATATCACGCCCGCTGTGATATCTGGCGATCATACAGATCAACAAGGCTCAGACTATGCAGAAATCACTTAACATCACTGAGCTTCAGCTACCAAATAGTTAATGCACATCGATCTAATGTGCGTTAACTACCGTTTCTAATATATGCAGCCGCTGTTAACTCTGGTAACTATTCATACTCGTGTTTAATATGTGTTCAGAGAGGCTCGGTGAAGCTTTGGTAGCAAGAACACATATGAAGGACTTGAGTAGTGTTGTTGGTCCTCCATTTTTATCTCTGTTTGGCATTGTTTTGCTGAAAACATGACCAAATTATAAACTGACCTTAGAGCCAAGCACAGTAATTCTCCAATACCAGTTTTCATTTTTCACATCATCAGATAATGGTTAATTTAAGACAGCTTTATGAATGTTTTTATTCTAAGAAACACTATGTATTGATAATGCTACTTCAAAATGTCACTGACGTCCTCCTGGATTTTATCAAGTCATTTTAGTTGTTTTTTTCTTTATCATTATCTGTGATACTTTCACATTTTTATCTGTGAATGCAAATACGTTTTAAGTAATATGGTAAGTGTTTACATTTTTTTTTCTTCCATGGAGCAGCACCTTGATCATGGTCAGTAATATCAAATTGCCAGGGTGCCATGGAGATTTGCAACATTTCCTCTCAGCAGAGTATATGCATGTGGTAAAGCAACTACAGTTTGAACATTGGCTCAAAAGCACAAAATACTGAAGCACCCATATTTCTGCTTAATTCGCTTCAGAGCTTTGCAACCTCTCCTGGACTGCTTGCCTTCAGAACAGCTTCATGTAATTGTCAACACATAAAAAACACTGTTAGTGGTCTTTCTTTTGTCCTTCTCAAAAAGCATTTGTGTCTTTATTTTTGGTTATTTTAATGATTAAACAAAGAAAATTAGGTTAAAACAGTTAATTATTGAAAATTGAGAAGACTTTAAGTTCACCTCGGGAAATGATGAAATGTCTAAATATCAGCCAAAGTTGTCTTGTTGTTAATTTTTTGTTTTGTTTTGTTAATGAATTCAATGATCTGTCAGTTTTTAACATCAGCTGCACATGAGATATAAATATCAGATATAGTATAACAGTAAGGGCATATTGTTTTATCATTACAGATGTGGACCTGTGGAACATGTTCCCATTTATTTGTTTTTATGAACTGTCATGTGTCTCTCTGATCCATTCAGAGAGATGCATCTTCTGCAATGGTTTGCACAGCTGTTGCATTGCCTTATCTAACAGTGGTTGTCACGAATCATTGAACTTCACATGGAAATGTGTATTGAGTATTTCTGTTTAATTGTCTTCCATCCAAGTTCAAAGGCATAGTTTACCCAGAAGTCATCATTTACTTACTCTCATGCCATTCCAAATATGTACGACGTTACCATTGCCTTCCACTTTACAAAGAAACAATGCTTATCCTCAGTCCAATGCAGAGGATCCATTGCTGAGTAAGTGATGTAATGATACATTTCTCTAAATTTGTTCCCACTAAGAAACAAACTCATCTGTATCTTGTATGGCCTGAGGATGTACATTTTTAGCACATTTCCATTTTTGGGTGAACTGTTCCTTTAAGTATACCTATAAGAAGCATCAGTCATGGTGAAATTATTTTAATGTAAAATGTGTGCTTGTTCTTAAAAATAACTTTGTTTACAATACAGCAGTTAAATAATTGCCCATTAGCAGCAATTCAATGATTCTGGAGTGTGTTATATCAATACAGGAGACCCCTCCCACATCACGAGTCACTGGTCACAGGCTCCGCCTCCCCGATAACATCATCAGCCCCCAGCCCTTCTTCTTTAACAGCTATAATGGAGATGCTGCTCTTGTGGAGCTGGATGCTGAGCTTGACCCACTCTCCTCTGCTGACCGTCAGGGGCTGCTGGAGGACCACCGCCGCCTGCTTCCAGTGAGAGTCCTCACTGAAGGTGCTGACACTCTGCTCAGAGTCCAGATGGATCTGGTACCAAAAGGCAATGGCAGTCACCTTGCCTGAGGTGTTGACCCGCACCTGCCAAATGCACAAAATAAAAGGCAATTTAATAGAAATTCATGGGGCTACTAGAGGGCTTTAAAATGACTTAAAAGGATTTAAAATTAAACAAAACCAGCTTAAAAGTGCTAGTTTCTGTTGTTTTTGAATGTTTGTACATTTTTTAGTTTTTAGAATTTTCATTTTTCATTTTAAGTTGTTAAATTTTACTTAGCTTCATTTATTTTTATTTCAGTTTTAACCATTTAATTTAATTTAACCTTTAGAAAGGCAACATTTCTATTTTTTATATTGATATATTATTTAATGTAAAGCCAGAGCTGGGTAGTAACTGATTACATGTAATCTGGATTACATAATCAGATTCCAAAAACTAAGTAATTGTAATTAGATTAAATTACATTTTACAATTTTTCATAATTTATTGATTCTCCCCCCAAAAGTTTTTTTTATCTTTTAAATTTTCCTTTGAAACATGCTAACATGACATGCAGGTAAACTAAATATTTCATTATTATTTATTTTTTTTTTCATTTTGATTGATGTTATTTTAAAATGGTTTATTTTAATTGTAATTTTTTATGACTGATTTAATTATTTGCTTTTCAATAAACTCACAACACCCCTGCAGTTCCTTCACGAACCCCAGTTTGGGAAACCTTGACATAACGTAATGCTTAATGAATGGAATATATTTTCTTTGCATTTTAATATCAATATGGTACAATATTATCCTATTAAATCAATGTGATAAACGACTTGGGTCAAAAGTAATCTAAAGGTAATCAAAAAGTAGTCTGATTATATTACATAAAATATGTAATGCAATGGATTATGTTACTAATTACAATTTTTGTCATGTAATTTGGAATCGGTAACTGATTACATTTTGTAGTAATCTACCCAGCTCAGTGTAAAGCTTTATTTCAATTAACAAAAACAATAACAGCACTGAGAGAGAGAGAGAAGCCCAAAGGACCAGAACCCAAAACTCACTTTGACTTCTCTGTCGGTGTAATTGGCAGTGCTGTTCATGAGGTCCAGTGCGAAGAGTTCTACTGCTTCACTAAGATGTGTACATTCAAGCGTGGACAGGTCCAAAAACACATGAACAGGTACCTAAGAGAAGAAGAAGAAAAAAAAACATTACAGAGACATTTTATTCTTTAGACACTTTAATTCTGTAATTTACAGAAACCACAGAATATATTTATTATGTATTACATTTCTCTCGGTACATGAAATGGAAAATCTGATCTTTGATAAACTGATAATCCACGGTATCTCTCCAACTCTAACTGTTTGACATAATCCTGTTCTTTCTGTTAGGAAGTATGGCATTTGACAATACTGTATAAAGCGTCTATAATTAACCACATAGCAGAGCTGTTTCTGGCCATTTTGAGGCCCAAGGAGGTGAATGGAACATACACTGAGTTTCAATTCAATAGGTCCTAAAAAGCAGCAAACACCCCATTTTGGAATTTGAACTACAATGTGCACTCGAGTTCTCAGGTCAAAGTTGAGTCTTGTAAAAAACAAACTAAAAGCTAAACAATAATGTTTACACAAAAAGGCTAAAAAGCCACTCTGATTACAGAAGAGTAGATTATTGTTTAGACCAGTCACAATGAAAAGTATATATTTGATCAAAAATAGTGAAAACAGCGATATTGGGAAATATTATTACAATTTAAAATAACCGTTTCCTATTTTAATATATTTTAAAATGTCATTTGTTCCCGTGTTGGCAAAGCTGAATTTTCAGCCTCATTACTCCAGTCTTCTGCATCAAGTGATCTTTCAGAAATCATTCTAATAGCTGCTCAGGAAACAATTATTATTATTATCAATGTTGATAACAGTTGTGCTGCTTAATATTTTTTGTGAAAATTGTGATTATTATTTTTTTCAGGATACTTTGATGAATAGATATTTCATTTGAAATAAAAATAAATAAAGACTTCACTTCAAAGACTTCACTGTCACTTTTGAACGATTAAATGTATTCTTAATAAATAAAAATCAATACTTTAATTTACTATGTAATTTTAAATGTATTTATATATATATATATATTTTTTTTTTTTACATTCATTTATTATTTATATAATGTTATATTATTTATTTATTTATAAAAATAAACTTTTGAATGGTAATGTACTATAAACCAAATATTTTACAATTTGTATGTTTGAAACAGGATTAAAATATGATTTTTTTTTAAATGTATTTCAGTCTGAAAGGTCAGAATGGATCATACACAATGTGTGGTCTTGCCTACAGCTTTATGTAAATTCACTTTTTTTTTCTTGCTATTTCCACATGATGAACTTTGTGGTATTTGAATATAGTAACTTGTGAAGCAGCGAACAAGCGAGCAGTTTTGGGACAAATCACATGCGAATGTAAAAAAAATGTAATCTCGTGCACTTCAAAACTTTCACTTTTTAAATAAAGCACTTGCAAATTATTATGGCAACCAACATAGATATATAGATTTGGTTTGTAAATTAGATTTGGGTGCAGTGTTAACAAAGCCTATACTACATTGAACCTCAAGATACCAGAGAATGTTCCAGAGCAAATATGGGACCTTACACACAAGGACAAGAGATAAAGAGTAAACACAGTATTGACAGAGCCAAACATACGGTGAATTGATTGATGAATGGAGCAATGTTGAACCCGAGAGTCGGCTCTGTTCCCTGAACAGCGCTTTCCCGAAGCAGCGTGTCAGACTCAACAAGCATCCCGTGGATCACAATGCGCTCTGGAAAAATCTGCCCACCGTCCTCCAACAAACACCTGAAATGTTCACAAAAAAAACCTACTGTCTACAATCCTAAAAAAAGAGAACTAACCATACTATGATTTAAACTTACCTAGCTAACGTTGCTTTCTCCAACAGTTTCTGTCTAATAAGGCCACAGGTCTCTATGCAGTCGAGTATGATGGCGCTCCAGAGCTTCTCGGTGGCTGGCCGTTGAAGAACCGCAGAATCATCCTCCACATGACTTAACCAGAACTCCAGTGTGCTTTCGAGCACACCGTTTCCTTTGGCCAGCAGTCTCAACATACTCTGGTGATGCTCCTTTTCCACTGAGCTGTAGGCTTGAACCAATCCAGGGCTGATCTGTTTGTCTTCACTTGGATCGAAGCCTAACTGGGCTGCAATCAAGGAGAGCACAGAAAAGCCCTCGGAGACATCGAGCACGTAGATCGGATCGAGTTCTGTGTCTGACTGTTGTGACCTCCTAGTTGACTTAAGAGAAACCAAAAGTTTGCTCATGGCCCTCTGGAAGCTGTTATGATATGCTGTGTTATTGAGGAGGGCGATCTCTGCCGACTCCAGCATAAAAGCGCAAGATGGTTTCTCCTGGTTGGTTTGAAGGCCAGCCAGAGCACTGCACAGCTCAGCCTCAGGGTTTGCATTGAGGATCTTGGGAGTTGCATTGTACAGACGGAATGTGTGTCCATCTCTTATGATAGCAGCACAGCATAGCCTGAGATAAGAGTCCTTACAGGAAACTTCCACCAGGATTTCATCACCACATTTCACAGTGTCTGAGAAATGACATGAATTAAAGTCAATTAATTATTGTTCAAATGATGTATCAAACTGGCTGTAGCTTAACCTTAATTGTCTTCACACAACCTCAAATAATGCATATTCAACACACACACACAACATGTTGTTAGCATTTTGCTAGCATGTTTCTATTTAACATGATTAACATGTTGTCAGCATCTTTCTAACATGATTAGAATGTTGCTAGCATGATAAGCATATTGTTAGCATGTTGCAAGCAAGTTTTTCGGATTAGCATGTTGCTAGCATGAATGAAAAATAATCCAGCTAAAACCAAGTAAAACCAGCTGATTTAATAAAAAAAAACAGCTAAATCCAGCTGATTTAGTAAAAAACAAAAAAAAAACAGCTAAAACCAGCTAATTTTACAAAAACCAGCTAAAAAAAAAAAAAAAAACACGCCATTGCTGCTAATGTGAAGTTTGTGAGACTACTTCCTGTTCTTCTCCTAAGAGATTGTTTTTGACATTAATGCATCAAGAAATTAATTGGCGTGGCGTGACTAGTTCTAGAGCAGTAGTTCTCAACAGTCCCCCCATTTTCCACAACATTATTTAGAAGCCCCATATATAAATCTGAAGTGTCAGTATAATAAAACATATAAGTATAATTAAATTTTAAATACTTTTTTTTTGTTTGTATTCAAGATGTTTTAAGAGCTGAATGTTCTTCAGAGTTCAAGGTTTAACTAATTAATTTTCATTACTTTTTCAGTTGATACTGGATATGACTAATGAGTATTTTATTTTTATCTGTGCACATATTGTTTCATTAAATAATTTTTAAAATTCACATGCCCTCATAATCTTTAAACAAAACCATTAACTTCCTTCCCTCCTTCCGACAACAGCACATGCTCTGATGGACAAAATCAGGTCCCACCCTACATTTTTTCTCATTCAGTTATACCTCACAATAAAGCAGAAAACACCACAATCCTATTTCATGCCTACTTCAAGTGATCTTGGAAATTTGCTCAAGGACCCCACTTGAGAACCACTGTTCTAGAGTCATGGTCATCTTTATACTTCTTATTCTCTATATTTTTGCATTAATATGCAGTTGCTCTTACTGAATGGACTCTGTATTGGATAGATGGCCTGCTCCCAGCATGTGTCTTCCTGTGGGCCAGTGGACAGGTGGTTGTCCTGGTCGAGGTGTAGCTGAAACCATACTGCCAGAGCATCAAGAACACCCTCCTGAGTCACACACAGTCGCAGCTGCATCATCTCTCTGGAGCAAAGACCCTCCAGCTCCTGCAACACAGAGAATGCTTAATACCACTTTATTTGAAAATGAAATCTTTTTAACATTATAAATGTCTTTACTGTGACTTTTGATCAACTGACTTGTTGCATTATCAAAAGACACCTTTATTTCAACACTCAGCTCTATATTATACTGAGTTCTGTACCTGCACATTATTGAAGTCTATGTCCAGAGCTGTGAAAGGTTGTGTGAGCTGAATGTATCCTCCACGCAGGCGGCTCAGTCTTTCAGTGGTATAGGGCTCAGTGCTGTCCTCAGTATCAGCCAGACAGCTAACAGGACTATAAATCTGTCCTACTGCAGACAGATCCAAGCCTCCAACTGAAGACGCGCACAGCCTGCAGAAGGTTGATTAGTAATTCAATCACTAAATGTTCACTCTAATCTTTTTAAGATCATACTCCACAGCCTGCTTCTTTGGTAATATGTTAAGTTAACTCTATAAAGAGAAGTGTAATATAAACTTGATCAACTTTAAGCAGCTTTGGTCTCTCACCTGTGTTGTCTACGGATCTCACGGCACTGAACAGCGACTCCAAACACAGTTGCACCAGCAGGTATTACACGGCCCGTTTGTGAGGGACTGGACAAGGGTTGTTGAGTGTTCTGTTGAAATTATTTATTAATCCATTGCTGTGATAGACTTGGAAGCATTAGTTAGAATGGACTGAAAATCAGTAATTTTTCTTTTTATATTAAATTATAGCAGCTTTATACAATAATATATTTTCTAGCCATCTACTGCTGCTAACATATTTTCTAAAAATGGCTTTAGAACTGATTCACCAACATTTATATGCATCTCAGCCACTAGGCGTCCCTGTTGTCCAAAAAAATATATAACTTGAGGCTACTCTCTGACACTATATGGGAAAAAGCTTACAATATTTTAAGTAAGGATTTAGAAGAAAGGATCTGGTTGTAGTACGGCAAAGTATGTAATCTTTTGCCAAGCATGTTATTAATGTTGGTGCAAGACAACCTGACATCTTCAGAGACAAAAATCTCTTAGTCACTGACCACGGCCGGATAAACATCAGATCAGACAGGATAAAACCATTTGTATAAAAGGATTACACTATAATCAGTTGAACTTGTGGCATCACGTGACCTCACTGCAGGTTTGCTGATCAGAACAGTCAATACTGCATACACATACTGAAATCATTCAGAAAGTGACTTACAGGTGGAGGTAAAAGTAGGTGCTTCCATGCATGGATCAGCGTCTCAATGATGCCCTCACCAAACAGCCCTGCATCTACCGTCTCTGTTACAACCAGCGACACTCTAAAGAATGGAACATAATCAACAAATTTATGAAAACATTTGCACTTTAAATTAACTTAAGACATTTTTTTAAGACAAATTGATTTTTTTAAGGTTTGGGTCAGTGTGATTAAAAAAAGAAAGAAAATGATACTTTTATTTAACAAGGACATATTCAATTGGGGGGAAAATATATTATTGTTGTTCTTTCTATTGATGAAAGAATAGAAAAAGGAAAAAAAAAAGAAAATGTAGCACAGTTTCTACAAAAATGCTAAGAAATACAACTGATTTCAACATTGATAATAATAAGAGATGTTTCTTGAGCAGCAAATCAGCATATTGGAATGATTTTTGAGGGATCATGTGACGATAATGTGAAGACTGGAGTAATGGCTGCTGAAAACTGTAATAAATTACAGTTTAACATTTATTAAAATAGAAAACAGTAACTCTAAATTCTAATAATATTTCACAATATCACTGTTTTTACTGTATATTTTGATCAAACAAATGCAATCTTGATGAGACATCTTACTGGCGTCCCAAACTTTTGAATAGTAGTGTAAATTATATATAAGATTATATCATAAGATTTATGCTTGGAAAAAAAAATTTAAACTATGTCAATATGAATCTGGTTACTATATAAAGAAATATATACCTGTTTGGAATGTCTTTTGGAATTTTCATGTCTAGAGACTTCAGGTGAACAATCTTGATGCTATCTGCCATCCCATTGGCTGAGAGCACCTCGCATGCCAGCTCATACATTGTCTTTGACAGCTCACAGGCATAGACCTCAGCGGCGCCTGCCATCTTTGCACACATACTAACATGCCAAACAAAAAGCATTAAAACAAACTTAACTGTATATCAGTTGAAACAGACATTTGTTAAATAACAAGGTTTATTTTATTTAGTAATTTAGCAGACGCTTGTTATGTAACAAGCGTCTGAAAAATCTCACCCGAGGATGCCTGTGCCAGTTCCAATATCCAGAACAGAGCTGCATCCTCCCTCAACAGCTTTCTTAATAGCCAGCTGGTACTTGTGGTTCCGCCCATGGTCGTTGAGCATTAAGAAGTGCCAGCGTTCCACCAACCAGTTGGCAACACGGTAAAAGTTCTCCTTTGCCTCTGGGAAGTCTGGCCGGAGTTTAAGGGCTTTGTAAAAATGCCCAGCAGCTTCATCCCGAAACCCCATTCTGGGGAAAAAAAAAACTAACAACTGACTAGGGGTTATGTTTGTAAATGAGCAACATGGTTTGAACAAAATTTGGGGTCAGTATGTGATGTTGTTGTTGTTGTTTTTTTTCTTCATTAAAGACATTATATTGTTATTATTGTCTATTCACTAAAAGACTCCTGAAAAAAAAAATGTAGCAAGGTTTTCAATTTTTTTTTTCCTTCAGTTTTGATATAAATAAATGTTTCTAGAGCATAAAAAAAGTTTATCTGAATTTCTGTGACACTAAAGTAAAGCCTGGAGTAATGGCTGCTGTAAATTCAGCATTGATATCACAGGAATTAAATTAATTTTAAAATATATTAAAATAGAATCACTTATTTTAAATTGTACTAATATTAAATGTATAAATGTATAATATTATATAGGTATATGTATAATATTAATGTATAAATGTATTCTTGGTGAGCAGGAGAAACTTCTTTTAAAAAATGTTAATGTATACATGATATTCTATCTATCCATCCATCCATCCATCTATCTATCTCTTGGTACTTTACAAATACTAAACCAACATAATAATATTAACAACAACAACAATAATAATAATAATAATAATAAACAAATAAAAACCTGAAGAGATGCTCTCCCATGCTGTTCACTATAACCTCATCCCCTGGAAACAACTCCATAGCTTGTTCATAGCAATTAAAGAGGTCCTGGATACGTCCAAGAGAGTCCAGCTCGTCTGTCCATTTAAACAGAGTAAATCTAAAGGATTCCTGTACACACAAAAACACACATATACCGGCTTTGCAATAAGGTTCTGAAGATTTTTCAATTTTAGAAACGTCATTTCACCACCACACACTGTTGCAGTAAACAGACTGATCAGGCAGACAGACTACAACATCAAGGAAGCATTGGGGGGAAAAACAATCTTACATTTGCAAAGTCTTTTAGAGCTGGGGCAAGGTTTAGAGCCAACAGGTAGTGGACAAAAGCAGTGCCGTAGTCCTGACTGAACAGACACTGCTGTGCGCTTTCCAGTGATCTTGACACCAGCTCATTTCTCACAGCATCTTCTCTCTGAGCTCGTCTATGACGCCTCGTCCTCTTTGGTCTTGTAGTGGCATTAGGCATGTTTTCTGTGAATGACAGAACTGATCATGTACTGTATCACTAGCTAACATTTAATAAATTGAATGACAGACAATGAATGCTTCTGGAAAAAAATACCAATAGAAAATATTTCCACCAGTGTCAAATATAAACATACAAATTATTTAGTGCGAAATGTAACAATTAAGTTTCAATTTGAGTACACTGGATGTTTGGAGCTAGTAGCTATATTTACTCATGTAACGGTAATCAAGTATAAAATGACTAATTATAACGCATTAATAAGTAAGATTTAATCCACAAAAGCTGCTAGTTAAAAATTACATACCGTACATAGCAAACGCGATGTGGTAATAAGAAAAATAACGTTTTCATACATTTTCATATATCATAACATATCTGAACATTACATAGTTTTCCTCCACAGAAATAAGACACTAGAGTAATTAAAAGCTGTTATTTAATATGCATAATTTATTATTTAATTTAACAATTTCAGTATTATTTGGATTTATGGTTCTTTAAGTTACCTGTCTCAGGTTTGCTAGTTGAGATCGCTGGACTGTATTTTTTTTTAATCAATTTCCCTTAAGACTCCAGCCTGCAGCTATCATTAAACCACAAACTGCGATTGAAACATTTTTTATATAGTTTTATCTCTATATTTATGAGCTACTTCAGAGCAGCTCTGCCCCTGTACTGCAGGTCCGCTCTGCAGAATCAGGCGGACGGAAACAACATCCGCTCTTTTAGAGTTCCACATAATATTTAAACACACTACTGACAACCCATTAGTATTATCGCATTTACGGAGTTTCTCGAGACACAAAAAAATTGATACGTATGCCAAATGATTTATTCAGATGGAAAAGACGTAAATTTCCATAACAACACAGCCCGCGGCCCGTTATTCCCTCAAATATCTCGCTTTCCAGAGAGCCAGGCGCGATGACGTCACGCGAGAGTCCTGCACGCGGGAGGAGACTCGCTCGAGTCGACTGTCATTCGCGGACCAAAACCCTGACTGGACATTATTACCTTTATTTCAATAGATATCTGTGTAGCGTAGAGCTGTTTTATCATATCTTACGAGAGTTTAAACCTGGAACATACTTAATATAATAACGTTACCCAGGGCCACGTTTACTTGTGCGACTTGGAAAGAGTTTTATTCCCAAGAGAACTCCCGACGCGTTTGGTCTTCCTAAGATATTGGAGGACGCGTTTATAAAGGCTTTTTAGGACAGCTTTCCGTTCCCTTTTTAATATTATTTCGTTATTCGACCGGTTTTTATTCATTTGCTTCTCGCTTTCTATTCGATTTAAACGCTAGCTAGTCTAAACTAGCCGAGTCCAGTAAAAATGGGGTTACACCCGTTGGAGTTTAGTGAGTGTTACCTGGACTGTCCTGCTTTCAGGGAGAAAATCAAAGCTCATGAAGCAGAGCTGGACAAAACCGGCAGGTTTATCAAAGAGCTGTATAAGGATGGAAAGAATCTCATCAATGCCACAAAGCGTGAGTGATATGCCTTTTTTATCTCTGCTTTTAAATTTGATGTGTAAATAATTGTGCTTCAAATGAAAATAAAGCTTGCCTTTCAGTCAACATGTGATCCAAACTATGCAAATGTCAGATAATATCAGCAACTCAAATCAGTCAAACAGGTCTTGTAATTTTGTCAAGGTCACTATGTCATTCCTATTTACACTTTTACCCGAGACCTTGCTGGAGTAGTTTTGCTGGTCTCGAGAGTAACATGGTTCATTTAACGTAGTGGAGCGCAGAGAAAATGAGCTTGCGTGGCATAACTTTTGCTGACCTCATCCAGTTTTGGGGTTATGATTTACTGTACATGATCTGTGTGCAAATCACCAGGTGTCCTACAAGTCTGCTTTTTGGTGTGTGCACATTAGGGATTTTTGCAGCACTTATGTAAGTTATTTCGAAAGGCCACAATTTTCTCAGTTCAGACACTTGCAGTTATGCATCTGCATTTGTGGCTTATCACCTCTGTCATGTGACCCACCCTTTCACCTCCATGTGTAAAGTTTTATTGTAAACATTTCATGTCCCTTCCCATTATGCATTTATTATATTCTGCCTTTTCCCTAGCGTTTAGGACAGGGCAGAACAAATTGGCTAAAAATAAAGCTTGCGTATTACGCCTTGGATGTTCAGACCTTTTTTGGATATGTTTGAATTATTGGGATCTGCAGGGTCTGGGTAGGGTTAACTTTAATATGAGTGTTCGTTCTGATAGCAGGACATTTTTTTGTGCAAATAAAAATGGATTATCAAAAGTTTTTAGGTGCTGGAGAGTTTTATACTGAAGAAATGTTGGCTAAATGTTTCTTTTAGATTTTGTGGTTGGTTCCTCTTTATTTTTTCAGTCTTGTGTGTGTGATGCACTAATAGTGTCACAGCTTCTAGATAATGCTAAATATGGCTAAATTAAGATGCGCAGGACAACAGGCTCATGGTACAGCCCACACAACTGCTGCCCACATAATAATCATGGATTGGTTAGCGTAGTTTTACTTGACTTAAAACATAGGAAACATGAAGCAATAACCAATAATAACATACATAACTAATGAACTGACCATTGGTGGGCCTAGGGCTGCACGATAAATCGAAATGGAATCGAGATCGCGATTCGACAGAAGCTGCAATTGTCATGCGTATCTTTCAGTGAAGCACGGTTCTGTGATCAGCAGTAAATCTCCATCCAAAGGCCAGAGGGCGCTCTCGCGCTGAAACTCCAAATACGCCTTGCAGAAGAAACCCAGAAAATGCCTAACGCTGCAGCTGAATAAACAGAAGATTCAACTGCTTTCATTGATTCAACGTGACTAATAAACACACGACTACGGCAATATACGGTTTATCTGAGTTCTTATTATTATAATTTTCATTAAAATAAAGTATATTTATAATGCAATGCCTTTATCACTGCTTAAATACTATTTATTTAAGCAGTTGCGTGCCTTAACTTGTCAGTGAACAATCGCATTTGATTAATCGTGCAGCCCTAGGTGGGCCCTTAGGTTGATTTAGTTAAAGGGGTCATATGACGTTGCTAAAAATAACTTTATGTTGTGTATTTGGTGTAATACAATGTGTTTATGCGGTTTAAGGTTAAAAAACACATTATTTTCCATATCGGTTCTCTTTTAGCAGTTCAGTCAATGTACTGTTAGGAGTAACTGAATAACTCGGGATATTGGTTTATTTCGCGTCAGAGAGAGTGCCAGGCACGTTTATAAACCAAATAACTTAAGTATTTTGTTAATTAGTGCGTACTGGAGACGCGAACCGTTTCAAACGATTCAGTTCGATTTGATGAACTGGTTCGACCGGTTCACTAAGAAGATCCGGTTAAATAGAACGATTCGTTCGCGAATTAGTGCTGGGCGGTATGACTAAAAATTTATATCATGGTATTTTTCAAAATTATACCGGTTTCATGGTACATGTCAGTATTTTTTTTTCCATGCATGACTGGGTGTTAACCATGTTTCTACTGATTGAGAGAGGAAATACTGCAGTATATTGACTTAGAATGCCCTATTTTACTGTCATGATGAGTGAAATATCTCTTTGGATTTGAGAATTTAGTCTTTGCAGCTTTCCAGATCTTCTTTATGCACCAAGAGCTTGTAACACTCCAAAGAGAAAGGAAAAATTGAACTCAGGAATAAGAAAAACAAGCAAAAACTTGTTGTGCCTAGTTTTGAATTCAGTCAGTCTGTTCAATCAGTTTGGAATGCACACTTTATACTACAGACAGATAAATGACTTCCTCTTGCCATTTTGCAATATGTATCCATTGTAATTTTTGAAGGTAATGCTGCATTTAGTGTTGTCACGGTACCAAAATTTCAGTATTCGGTACCAATACCAGTGAGAAAACCGCGGACTTGGCAACACTGGAAGAGGATAGCTTCGTTTAGCGCATCAAGAACCGGGTTGACCGGGTACTCGGTACCACCGGTACTTAAGAAAACCTGGTACCGTAACGTTTAAATTTTTTTAGTACCGACTTGGTACCGAAATACCGGGTCTTTTGACAACACTAGCTGCATTAATAATAATAAAAATAATTAATAATAATAATAATAATAATTTTATTATTATTATTATCATCATTATTATTTTGATATGTGATTTGTCAAAATTGTCTACTTATTTTTTTCAATCCAATTTATAAAGAAATGTATTCTTTGTAATATCTTAATTAGAGCCTGACCGATATATCGTTTTGCCGATATTATCGGCCAATATGAGCCTGTCGCCGATATATCGGTATCGGCGAATATGCCGCCGATATGAAATTTTTCTGCTTTCGAATGAGACCAACCCAGCGTCATTAGCCCCCGGGGTTCGGGAGTTACGGGTGGTTAAATTCATGGTCCGGCGCCGACCGATCAAGCGATCCCGGGGGGGCTACCGACGCACGGAGGGTGCTGTTCGAGAGGGCTCCTCGAGCTGAAGGGAGATCCGCCGGCGCGTTCGTGAGATAGTGACACCAGTCAACACTTTCACTTCTGTAAGGAGGTCCCTTGTTCAGGCAGCAGCATTCAAGTTGTCTTATTCGACCGTAAGTGCCCTGTGAAGTGGACTTCACATGAAATTCCGCCATGATTCCAGTTCCAAGGGAACGTACACGTTACATACAAAGGGCATTAAAGTGCGATATATCGATATCGGCCTTTTTTACTCCCTAATATCGGTATTGGTATCGGCCCCAAAAAACCCATATCGGTCAGGTTCTAATCTTAATGTACTTTGAAATGAAAGCATAAAAAATAAACAATTAAAAAATTTAATTATGGAATTGTTGTTTAATTATATAATAAAGTAATATAAATAAAATAATAATTACAATTTTTGACTTGTCAGAGTAGCCACCTTTCGAAGATATAACAGCTAAACATACCTGTTGCATTCTTTCTACAATGGAAATTATATATTTGGAGTTCGAATGGAGGTATATATGTCTGATCCATATATGTCAGTACTGTAGCAGCCAGTAATCTGTAAGTATAGAAGCCAGTTTGAGCATTGAAAATCTCTGTTCATGGTTTCATTTTTAAAATCTGAGCTGCACTGTTGGGATCACTAGTAAGTGGAAACAATTAAAGCTTTAGACCATATCCCAAATAACTCAATATCCTCTTCAGAGTCCACACTTTAGTGACATACACTGCCATTCAAAAGTTTGGGATCAGTAAGACTTGTAATGTTTTTTTAAAGAAGTCTCTTATACTCATCATGTCAGGCCTGTGTTTCTGTGTCTTGTGTTTTGTTCCCCACGCTCTCCATGTCCTGGTTTTCCCCCGTGTTCCTCTATGCCCATTTTTGGTCTTCCCGTTCCTGTCCTCATTATGTTCAGTTGATTCCACCTGTGTTCGCCCCTGAACTCCCTAAGCAGCCAGGGCTCCCTGGACGGCATGCTTCACCATGGCTCCCTGGACGGCATGCTTCGCCATGGCCCCCCGAGTTCCCTGCTCCGCCATGGCCCCCCGAGTTCCCTGCTCCGCCATGGTCCCCCGAGTTCCCTGCTCCGCCATGGCCCCCCGACTTCCCTGCTCCGCCATGGCCCCCTGAGTTCCCTGCTCCGCCATGGCCCCCCGAGTTCCCTGCTCCGCCATGGCCCCCCGAGTTCCCTGCTCCGCCATGGCCCCCCGAGTTCCCTGCTCCGCCATGGCCCCCCGAGTTCCCTGCTCCGCCATGGCCCCCCGAGTTCCCTGCTCCGCCATGGCCCCCCGAGTTCCCTGCTCCGCCATGGCCCCCCGAGTTCCCTGCTCCGCCATGGCCCCCCGAGTTCCCTGCTCCGCCATGGCCCCCCGAGTTCCCTGCTCCGCCATGGCCCCCCGAGTTCCCTGCTCCGCCATGGCCCCCCGAGTTCCCTGCTCCGCCATGGCCCCCCGAGTTCCCTGCTCCGCCATGGCCCCCCGAGTTCCCTGCTCCGCCATGGCCCCCCGAGTTCCCTGCTCCGCCATGGCCCCCTGAGTTCCCTGCTCCGCCATGGCCTCCTGACTTCCCTTCTCCGCCATGGCGCCACGAACTGCCTGATCCGCCATGGGTCCCGGAATGGGTACCGCTCCCCCGTTGGATGTTGTGCTCCATGTCCCAAAGACCATATCCCAAATAACTCAATATCCTCTTCGGAGTCCACACTTTAGTGACATACACTGCCATTCAAAAGTTTGGGATCAGTAAGACTTGTAATGTTTTTTTAAAGAAGTCTCTTATACTCATCATGTCAGGCCTGTGTTTCTGTGTCTTGTGTCTTGTTCCCCACGCTCTCCATGTCCTGGTTTTCCCCTGTGTTCCTCTATGCCCATTTTTGGTCTTCCCGTTCCTGTCCTCATTATGTCCAGTTGATTCCACCTGTGTTCCCCTTGTTATCTCGATTAGTCCCATTACTTAAGCCCTGTGTCTTTCCATTTCGAGCATCCGGTATTGTTCGTCAACCCCTCGGTCTACGTGTGTGTTCCTGCCTTTATTCC